ATATAAATATGCAAAACAGTAGTAACGTATTTATATATGGATAGAAATATATAGCTCGGTCCATTACCTTCCAACCCTCGCTTAAATTATTGTCTCATTGAATATTCTATTCGGACGTACCACATTCAGAAAACACAAAAGAGCTGGTCTAGTCATCGCGTACTTGCCTACTACGGGCCGTTTCTTCCTTTGCACCGGTGCGATTCTTCACTTTCGTTCTTTCGCGTAATTTTTCATCAAAGTAAAAAAAAAAAGAAAAGGAAAAAGAAAATAGAAAAGAAAAAGAAATTGAAAAATAGAAAAAGGAGACGAGGAACGAGAGATATGAATAATTAAAAGAGGATTTTAAGAAGTTTCCGAGCATCCTGAGAATATCTCTTTTTCTTTACTTTTTGCTTTCTTTCTTTCTTTCTTTCTTTCCTTCTTTCTTTCTTTCTTTCTTTATTTCTCTCTCTTCCTCTCTCTTCTCAGTTTTTAGTATTATTATTATTATTAATATCATTAAAGTTCTTACCATTTGCAAGTATTTAAATAGTTACGAAGAAAATGTACTGAATAATAAAAAGAGCAAGACTCTTAAACCCTTTCGTTACTAACGATCCGTACACCAATTTGTTCGAGTAAAAATCTCACCGATTTCATACAGAAATCTTATCATATATGGTATAATCTAATTTATATAAAAAGCATACCCTGTAACGTAAGGGTTAAATATTATCGTGATATACCTTGTTTCATGTAATTATTTTTCTTTTTTGTGTTTTCTTTTTCTTTCTCTCTTTTTTTCTTTAATATATTTTTAATACTCGTTATTTCTTCACAGATGTGCAACGAATGGGCGATAGATACACCATGTCCGGCAGGCGACCGTGACTTCTGCCGATCCTTGCACATTTTGGATAGCCGAGGGAATAGTGTCTTGGCAAGCAAATTTCATTTTCTACTTGAGACCCTATCAAACTTATTTAACTTCCACTCATGATACTTTAAATGACAATGTTACTTCTAAAATGATCGATACATTACATATCACGTTCTTGTTAATACGTTTTTTCTAATATTTTTATCGATTAATTGACTATTTTCATTTCTCATCGCAACTTTTCTCTTACTTTCTTTATCTTTGTTCATTTATCTTTTGAATCAATCTACTTTCTCCGAATTTTCTCTAAATTGTTTCGACCGGCTTAAAAACTCTTTCCAAAAGTTTAAAGTTAACGATTAACAAAATCCCATTAAATTTTCCTGCCGCAAAATTATTCGAATGGGTCGTTTAAAAGTTATACCACAAAATAAGAGCAACTTATTTCAACATTCCCCCCCCCCCTTGGAAACTTTTCTGCCGCAGGTGAGCAAAAGCTGTGCGAGTAGTACGGAATGTGGACCATCCTCAGTCGGTTGTATTCCCGTGGACACGCAGCAGGTGGGGGAAAAAAAAATACACGATATCTTCTACTCTCAACGATGTTACTTGATAAAAAAAAATAAATACAAATAAAACGCTAAGAATAGATAGAAAGAAAAAAAAGAAAAGTAAGAAAATTGTGTGTAAATTAGATGATTTTCATTCGTTACAGATCTGCATAAGTTGCTGCGATCTAAGCTACTGCAACGTCGAGTCACCAACAAATGCGACGAATGCGATTTATTCGCGCAAACGACGGGCCAAACCAAAAACGAAACGCAAACGACCCGGTAGAAATGGAGTCGATGGTACGGACTCAAGGTTTTACGGATCCGGAGTGTTCTGGCTCTTAGCCTCGATCTTCTATGCATATCATTGCTGAAAAAAGATGAAAGACAGAGAGAGTAAGGGAGAGAGTGAGAGAGAGAGAGAGCGAGAGAGAGAGATCGACTCTGGCCAACTTGCAATCTCAAAGTCTCTCTTTGATTATCTTCCATTAAAAACAGAGAGGAAGATTAAGGAATGCGTATGAGCGTATGAATATATTCCTTTTCTAGAGAAAATAAAAAATAAAAAAAAACAGAGAAAATAAAGAAAAAAAAAATAGATTCTCATCGTCGTCATCCTTTTCTTCGGATTACGCGCAGGCGTTTGTGAAAATACCTCGCAGAAATATTCCGAGAGATGGTTATTTTCTTCTTCTTTTTTTTGTGGGTTTCTCGGTAGATAATATTAAAAAAATAAAATAAAATAAAATAATATATATATATATGTATTATATGATATAAATGTATATATTATATATCATATAAAAAAAGAAAAGAAAAAAAACAGAAAAGAAAAGAAAAAAAAACGAGACACGCACACTGACACGCAAACCTCTTCTTGTACGTACACATATCCCAGCGCGAAATTTTCTTCGTGCGCGTTGGTCCATCGCGAGCGCGATTTTAAGCTCGCTCGATGTGTTCACATCGCCCCATTATATATATACATATATATATTTATATATAACATTATATTATATATATATTATTATTATTATATATATACATATATACGTCGAATAACATACGTATATATGTATATACGTAAACAAAATAAATAAAAAAAAAGGCTCCTAAACGATTCTTTACGATCACGATATATGTCGTACGCTTCGATATATCGTAGGTCCAATTTTCTTGTGCTTCATCTTTCTCCCTTCTCCCTTCATCACCCTTTTTCAAGAGAACATGCATATGTATACACTTATACAAAGAAAAACACACATATATATTTAATTAAACCTATACGTATTCTCAAAGAAAGACTTCTTTTCGTCGAGCGAACAAAGAACGTCGATTTTCCCTAGAAAATTATTCGAAGGATACGATATTCTATCTATTATTATGCTCCTCCGATGTCCGAATATGTATACTACGATAAAGAAGCCTGCTCTTGCAATCCTTAATTTTCTACTTCCATTCGTGAGAAGAATATGAAAGAAGGAAAAAATATAAAGAGACAGAGACAGAAACAGAAGGTGATTAAAAAAAAAATAGGGGGAATAGAGTACGTAAGAAAAAGAAATCTCTCTGAATATTTCGCGGTATTGATCAAGGATAATTAAAAACAAACAAACAAAAAACACAAAAACAAATAACACTTCCCAACTCGTTTAGTATTAAATTTAGAGATTAAAGATATATATATATATATATATATATCGGATACGAGGATTATCGAGATTACGATCTCGAGAATATCATCGTCGTGTCGTAGTTAAAAAAGAAAAAAAAATTAAATAATTCGACACCGTAATTGTGTGTCGTGGTGATGAAAAAAGGAATTGTTTCATTCTCATAGTATCGTAGTTGCCATGCCTTGTTAGAAGGAGATAAGATATTATAATTAAACGGAAAGAAAGACAAAGAGAAATTTTGAGCAATGTGTGAAAGGAAAGAGACAAACAAAATTACAAACATTAAAATAAACTACACTCGCGTATGCTATAATCTCGTACATTATTCATATATTATTACAAAGATTAAAATATATAATTAAGCACGATTTAAATAAATAAATCAAAGGATCTTCTTCTCGATGGTTCCAATCTCGACTTAAAGAAAATATAAAAAATAAAAAGAACTCGAAAAAGGAGAAAGATAAAAAGAGAGGAAGAAGAAGTAGGAGAATCAGAACGTTAATTTTCGAGGACGCACCAAAAAAGAAAAAAAAAAGAAAAAAAAAGAAAAATAGGAGAAGAAAAAATACGTTCCTTTCTTGTCGCAAGAACCATTAAGTGCTGATTATCTCGTCCGTTCTCTAGCAAATGATAAAATTAAAATTCACGGTGGCACCGGTGGAGAATGGAAAGTTTTTTCTCCCTTTCCTCACTAACCGACTCTTCCTCCTCGGTCTAACCCTTAAAGCAATTTCTTTTTTCTACCAGCGCGAAGAGATTATCCACTAACCCGTTTAATCTGTCCTATCCAAAGAGCATGTACCTTTTCCTTTTCTTCCTTCCTACCTTCTCATTCCTTCCTTTCTACTATCCTCGCATGAGGATAAAATGCAAAAAAATATAATGCATTTCTGTATGTCTCTGCTGACTCGTTTGAGCTTTCGCTACGCTGTGAACCGGAGCTATGTGTACCAAGATCATCGATCCTTATCCTCGAAGCGACTGTTCAATTTTGTCTACGATCTTTCACGGTACGTCCTGGAAATCGAGGTTAATCATTGAGATAAGATAAAAATCTTACTTTAAGTTTTACGGACCACACGCCTCGATACGCGCGAGTACCGATGTTGCTGCTATTGTTGCTGCTGCTGCTACTGATGATGATGATGACGATGATGATGATATTGATGATGATATTGATGATGATATATTGCTGTATTGCTCTATTTCTTCTATTCTCTAACGCGTGCATATACGAACGATGCCAAGCTCAAGGGACTCGAGAGATTTCCTTAAATCCTAAGTGTCAAACCGAGAGAAAGATTAAACTCGCTTATCCTTTAACGCGATATAATCGATCGAACCTTGAGCTTCGTTGATCGAGATATACATACAAACTATGTTGCATGTATCGAAAATCGACAGCGCACTTTGCGACGATGGAATTTCAATGAAAGATAAATCGAAATGATGCGTACCTAAAACTTGTTTACATACCTACAGACTCGCCTCTATTACAGACTACTTATTGCTATAAACGATTATTAACAATTATATACATATATTCATATATATTGTTTATATATATATGTATATAATTTATATATTATATATATATATATATATATATATTATGATATAGACACTATACATTGTTTCGGCATGATGTAAGAATACTGTTGGTAATGAAATAAAAAAAAGATATACTTGTCATATTTTGTTCATCTTCCTTCTTGTTTCCAGAAATTCAAATCTTTTTTTAAACTATACAAAGTACTTCTATTAAAATTCTTTGCAATTTGCTTCATCCTGGCTTCATCCTCAATAATACAACAGACAATCTGTAAAAATCCTCAAACCAATTAGCTTTTTATCAACATTAATATTCCTATTCAATTAGGAACCAATTCTGCATCTTCTAAACAAAAATTTGCTACACGAAGAAGTAAATACACTAGAAATTAAAGATTAGAATAATCCAAGAAGAGAGATTCGGAAATCAAATTAGACGTTAACATTTTCTCTGTTGAATCCTACAATAGTTGGTAATTAGTATTAGTTAATAAATCTGACGTGAATTTAAGCAACGACTTTACCAAAACAGACCAAACATTTGATTATGTCACTAAACGTAACACTAATAAACTTAATACTCTATGTTAACTACTAGAAATTTCAGATAAAAGCATGTACCAACTAATCGGATATACGGTGACACGATGAAATCCCTTTATTAAGAGGTGTGAGAAATTCTTCCTGTGGAAAACCAAAGCTCTCACGTGGACCACCGAGTTTACACTTTTTTTTATCTTCTTTTTGCTGGTCAAAAGTTTTCTCGGACTTTCCACTATCCTGGTTTCATTTATATATACACGAATATATATACAGCAAAAGTAGAGTTTCCAACGAAATAAATTAGTTAAATGAATTTTAGTTAGAAACTAGTTCTACGTGAATAAACGCATTTTTGCATATATCGTCGTGTCTTCCTCTTAACGTTCTTCCAAATTATTCATCCGGCGAACCATGAAAATGGATTACATTACGTGATCACATTTACTATTGTAAGTATACTTCGTATTTATTCAATGTTTTATATACGAGTTCGTTAAATAAATGTTGATGATTAAATTAGTTTGAAAGAATAAACGAAAGATTAATTTTTAAAATTGAATAACTGAAACAGAATTCTTTTAATTAAATGATCAAAGCTAAATTAATAAAACTAATAGATTTAAAGGAGATTTTTCAAACCTAACGCGATGGAGGCTAAATTTCTTTAATTAACATTTAAGACTATACTCTTCAAACTAATTTTTAAACGCTAAATTCTTAAAATAAATTGTTGAAAACACAAATTCGTTCAACTAAACGATAAATTCCTAAAACTAACGAATTGAAATTACAATTTAAATAAATGTTGCAATAAAGATTGGATGATAGAAAAAACATATTCTAAACATACCCAATACTGATGTACCTTTGGAATAACGATAGTGATCGAATCTTATCATTTATCACCATAAGTTATCACTTATCATTATAAAGCCATTTACAATGCTTTGTATTTCCATTTCCAAGTCTTCTTCAACTTTAAAATAGTAGAACATTCAACGAAGACACAACAATATTCTAATTTTTAAATCATCGTTAATTAAAATTCATTAATTTATTGATTACTTATCTATTGTATTATTTTTAATATTTTACGTCCAAATACGATTCATAATCACGGATTTATATAAATATGTAAATATAGCAATTCAATATTCACTATAAAATTACTATTTTTCAAACTTTTCCCTCCATTACCAACCAAGTTCTTCACTAATTTGAAAAAGCAGGTGCGTATCAAGCATTTTTATTTTTAAGGACTTTGAACTTATCTTCTTATTGGCTGGAATTGGGAGCGAAAAATAACGGTCGCTTATTGGCTAATAAAGATTCTATCTTTCTTGTCGTTCAATAATATTTAATTTTACTCAAGCGACATTTTTCATGCTTATAAATTTATTTCATAAATTATTATTTATTATTCTATAATTACTGCTCTCAGTATAAAAGATAATAAAATATTCATAAGAGAATTTTATAATAATGAACCCAATAATTATAATTTTAATGTTATTTCATAAATTGCGTAATAAAAAACCAATACAATAATTCAATGAGTTCGAGCAGAAAAAATAAAATACAAAAAATTATGCATTAAAACAATTACAACACAACCTGTGTAAAAGGGAGAAAAAGTAATAAAGACAATAAATTAATTAACAGTCTAATTATCATTCATTCATTAAAAAATTTCTATACATTTTTATTAATTCTCAGATGTCCCACTCATTTTTCTATTCTGCACAAGGCTCCGCAAAGTTTAGAAACGCTCCTGTAAGTATTGTATATGTATTAATTAATTGTAAACGATAAGATCCTTACGTACACTAATAAAGCACGTTTACCTTTTTAAAATAAGAGCGAATTCATCACTGGGAGTCACGTGACCAACCTTATTCGAAGTTTCCGATTGAAGTCATGTAGACGGCGCTAACAGTAAGATAGCGCATGCCCAGTTACAAAATCTATATTAAAATGGAGGATAAGAATCAGGTCGTAGAGCGAGAGACTAAAAAGGATGAAATTCATGAAAAAGATGGGCATTCCAAAAGGTTAGTTATCAGTTATTATCGTATTGTTTATACATAGTTCTTTAATTTTCATTCAAACATTCGTTTTCCTCGATCACCACGAAGTCAAAATGGATGTTAACGGCCGGTAGTTTAGCAGTCAATATGATGAAATTTTCTTATGCAGTCACTATATAATTATTGATGATTAATATTTCAATGAAAATAATCCGTCTTTCCAATATTATCTTTGTGAAACTTAATTTTTCTTTGAACACTTTAATTATGAGATGCAAAGTAATTGGTAAACATATACGTGATTGTTAACTGTAATAAAAATGTTGTATGCTTTGAACTTATTAGCTAAAAATGAAGATATATAAATGTTTTAAAAGTATGTGTATGATTATCGTTTATGTTGAATCTGTGATCTATTGAATATAAAAATGAGGTATATTGTTGAATATTTTGTACGCGTTGAAATATTTAACTTTAATCTCTTGTGTTTAGTTCCAAAAAAAGGAACCGTAAGAAAAAGAAACAGACTATACATTCTACGAGTGAGAATCACAACAATGCAGGACACAGCGAAGAAAAAAATCTTCAAAGCGCTTGCAACATCTCGATAAAGGAAATACAAATGGCTATGGAAGTATTAAACATGCAGCAAAAGCCTGCGAAAACACAAGAAGAAGCGATGCAAAAACCTTATCAATTTTGGAGTACGCAACCGGTACCTAAAATGGGTAAGCTCACTATATATTTATGATTTAAAATAAGTTAATGGAAAAAGTAATTTGATGTCATTTTTAAATTGTAGATGAAAAAATTGTGTGCAATGAACCTATTGAACCTGATAAAACTTCTATAAGGGCAGAACCATATTCATTACCGGAAGGTTTCCAATGGGATACTTTAATCCTTGAAGAACCTTTAGTATTAGCGGAGTTGTATTCTCTATTATCAGAAAACTATGTCGAAGATGATGATGCAATGTTTCGATTTGATTATCCACCAATATTTTTAAAATGGTAATTATCCCAACGCATAAGACTTTTGAATAATAAACCAGAAGATTTTGTTAATTTATGTATCAATGTTTAGGGCATTACAACCACCTGGATGGTGTAAAGAATGGCACTGTGGTGTTAGAGTAAGCAAAAGCGGACGTCTAGTCGGTTTTATTTCCGCTATTCCAGCTACTCTACGCATTTATAACCAGTAAGGATTCCATAATAAAATTTCATTTTTATTTTATTTTTTAATCTAATTCTTGAATTTATTTTAGTACTAAAAAGATGGTTGAAATAAATTTCTTATGTGTACATAAGAAATTAAGATCCAAAAGAGTTGCTCCTGTGTTAATACGAGAAATTACAAGGAGAGTTAATCTTCAGGGAATTTTTCAGGCTGTATATACTGCTGGAGTTGTATTACCAAAACCAGTCGCAACTTGCAGGTATGGATTATTATTATAAAAAACATTTTGTTTTATAATTACTATATTTTATTTATTAATTCATATTCGTTATTACATTTAGATATTGGCATCGGTCACTTAATCCAAAGAAACTAATTGAAATTAAATTTTCTCATTTGTCACGCAACATGACCATGCAGAGAACTTTAAAACTGTATAAGCTGCCAGAAAACACGAAAGTGCCTGGATTTCGAAAACTCGTTTATACAGATATTCCACAAGCTCACAAGATTTTAAGCGATGTAAGTTTTACCATGCTATTTTGTAAAAAATTTCCAGTTTCAATTTATTAGAATGTTAAGCGTCAAGTTTTTTTTTGTCAGTTATTACTGACATCGTAAAGATTAACATGACATGTAATGCATTAAAAGAAAAGATATTATATAAAAATATATTTTTATTATCTAACATTTCAGTATTTAGAAAAATTCGATCTAGCACCGATTTTTACTATCGAGGAATTCCAACATTGGTTCCTTCCACAAAATGGCATGATCAATACTTTCGTAGTTGAAAATGATGGTAAAATCACCGATATGGTTAGCTATTACACCTTGCCAAGTTCTATAATGCATCATCAAGCACACAAGACATTAAAAGCTGCCTATAGTTTTTACAATGTCTCGACCGTAACGCCGTGGCTTGAACTTATGACAGATGCTCTTATATCAGCTCGTAACGTAAGACTGATCATCCTTTATCCGTATTTTATTTTCCATTTTTTATCATCGTAAAAATTCTTAACAAAAAATATGATTTTCCTTAGTTGGGTTTCGATGTATTTAATGCATTGGATTTAATGGATAACAAGGAATTCTTGGAACCTCTGAAATTCGGTATTGGTGACGGTAATCTCCAATATTATTTATACAATTGGCGTTGTCCAAGTATGACGCCTGGAAAAATTGGTTTGGTGCTCCAGTAGATTTTCAGATCAACGTTGTTGACTCTGGAATGTTAAACGATTGTAAGCTTGCGTGAGTGAAAGTAAAGAATGTTAGATGAGTGTAAGCTAAGAGAAAAAAACAATATAAGATCCATGCGTAAAAAATAAAAAACGACGAAAACAAAGAAAGAAAAAAAGTGCGAAAAGCCTCTGTTATATTTCTGTGACCACAAGTAATTAAAAAAAAAAAAGCAACAGCAAGTGAACATTGAGTAAAACAGCAGGAAAAAGAATTTGAAAGAATATATGTGAAAAAGAATCTTACAGAACTGTGAGTAACAAAAAAATTTGTCGATATTTTCGAATATCATTCTTTTTAACGTCCCTGATAGTGAACAGGACGACGAGACAGCAGGGGCAGGGTCAAGATCGGTACGGTATAAATAAAATGTTTGCATGCGCCAACGCGAGTGTATATACGTATATATACATATATATATACATATATATATACACATATATATATATATATATGTGCGTGATTCGAGCAATGTAGATAAATATCGTAACGTTAGTAACTTGACCGAGCCACGCAAAGGGTTGGGAACATAAAACAACTAATATACAATCCGACGTTCTTCGAAAGAACTATATTTCCTTTGCATCTTCTTGGCAAAATAGATGATAATGCGTATGTCGCGAGATAAGAATGAAAAATAAAAAAACAAAAAGAAAAGAATTACAATAAAATGAGATTCTTCGACTAAGTATCACCTTCCCCTCACTCACTCTCTTCTCGTTACTTTCTTTTTTTTATTATGCATAATTTACTTCCTTCTTTTTTTCTATCAACACTCGATCAAAAACTTATACATTTTTAAACTTTACAAATTATACGCTCTTTTTTCATGATAATTCTGTTTGATCGATCTCACAACTAGTTTTTCTTTCTTTTTTCTTTTTTTTTTTTACATGCTGCATATAAAATATTTTACACTTTTTAAAATTACATGTCTTTCCGGTATTCCGCTTTTGATCGATCGTTCGGTAACCGATGTGCTATCCATCGACGATAAGATAGCATCAAAAAGACAAAAGAATGGAATAAAAACAGCAATCAATTTTAAAATTTCAACTGAATTCTACATAATTTTCAATATGATTACTTACTTTTGTTTATACCTTATTGTTTATTTTTTAATTATATTTTTAAAAAGCGTATATAAACACATACGCTATTACGGTTTAAAATGTTTCCTTGTGTATGTAAAAACCTTCCTCTCGAAAAGAACTTCGATGAGGTCGACATGTTAGGGCCTTTCCTTTTTTCGAAATTTAAAAAGAAATGAAAATATGTTTCTTGTCACAAATAGCTGATTTAAATTAGCATTTTGTTTAGATAGGATGCTTGCAGGCACATTTTTTGATGAATTTGTAGACAAAATAAACTTTTGTCTACATCGATAATTTTTTATTATCCGCGTCGTGCTTACGGTAACAATAAAAAATAAAATTGAAATCTCTTAAAAACCAGAAGTAATGTACTTTTATTGAATCTTAAAATTAATTAACAAGTATAAAATAATTCGAATAATTTTAAGCGCGTTATTATGTTTATTCGTAAAACGTGTTTTAAAAAAAAAAAAAGCAAAACGAATATTCTTTGCATAATCAGATGTAAAATCCAACACAATGCAGATTATAAATCGTTTTATGGTATAAAATTCATCGAGGAGATTTATTTATAATATTCGTCGATTATTAGTCGACAAATAATCTCATAGTTGAAATTTATTTCAATTTTTTTTTTTTTAGCATTAAAATAAATCCAAGAATTAGATTAAAACAATAAAATAGAAATAAGATCTCAATATGAAATCCTAACTGGTTATATATACGTATAGTAAATGCAATAGCGAAAATGAAACTAACTAGATGTTTGCTTTTTTTAGCATTAAAATAAATCCAAGAATTAGATTAAAACAATAAAATAGAAATAAGATCTCAATATGAAATCCTAACTGGTTATATATACGTANAAAACAATAAAATAGAAATAAGATCTCAATATGAAATCCTAACTGGTTATATATACGTATAGTAAATGCAATAGCGAAAATGAAACTAACTAGATTTTTTTTTTTTTTTTCTTTTTTGATTCTAACACCTCAGTGTAATTTTTTACTCTATTCCGGTGATTGTTACATTTTAAAAATATAGGTGGATAATGGCATTGAAACATGGTATCATCGTCTTCGACGTAGCTTGCCGATGGCAGATAAATAATCGACAAATGTTTTAAACTGATAATCGTAAAAAATTATACGATGTTTGGAATGGACAAAAAAAATTGCTATAACCGATATAAAGAATACGAAATACTCGGTTTATGACTTCCTCGAACGTTGTACTACGTGTAATAAACGAAAGAAAAATACTTTTATTACTTCCATGATATAGAATGCATTATAATTATTTCGTGTCCTACGAGTATCAAGTTAATCTTTATATCGATGTCTTTTAGATTTTTTATTTATATAAGAAAATATTGTAATTTCACATGCTGAGATAATACTTTATTAAATAGAATCATTATCATTTACAACTAAAATTGCAATCATAATTTATTATAGATAATTTTGATTTTATCGTGTCATACCTTAAACATATATACACGTAATTTAGCTCTTATACAAGGTAATCCACAGTTATTTTTCGCAAAATATTACTAACGTACTGTGTATAAAATTTATTTTTCTTATTTTTATTTATAGAATATATTAGTAAAATTATGCGGAATAGAACTGAAATACCATCTTGTACATTGAGTTAAGTTTAAAATTTCTTTTTTGTATTTTAAATGATATTTATTAAACCAAACACACTCGTGTCATTTTGTTCCATGATTATTTTCGTAATTTTATCGACTTTTCCAACAATTGATCGACCACAACGAAATGCTTCTTTGACATCTAAAATTCCAGATTGAAAAAGAGCTGAAAAACTGGCTTTATTCCACACAGACTGGTCCTGTATTGTGTTCATAAATATCACAACATTTTTTAGTACCTCGAGTTTTATTCTTCCCTTGTTTTTATTTTTTTTTTAATTATTCTGTGATATATCCAGCTTTTAAACTTGTGCAAGTCTTGCTAGATCTGATTAAAAATAACCAGAGTTATGCGATCGTAAAGTCATATTCTGACAAAATATATGAACGAACTTTTTACTCGATTCAATGATTAAGTATCCTTCGTTCGAAAATATGATCCCTAAATCGCGTACAATCCATAAAAACGACATTATTTGTGCCGAAGATAACACGTATGACAATTTTATTTTCATTTGCAGTCATTAGATTAGCACACTTGCTATAAAAGATAATGTAAGTATCATTTACTCGAGAGAGTCAGTTTGTACACTTGTGGAATCTGTAATCCCATTGGGAGTAAAAAAAAATCTACCCTTAACGATCTATTTGGATGAAACTCACAGATATGAGAAAAAAGGTGTATTTTCTTTTTATTCAATGCTGGAACAATTCTATATTTTTTTTTTTAAATTGTATCACCCTTAGCGACTTTGCCAATCCGTTGATAATGAATAGAAAAAGGAAGAAAGAAGAAAAAAGAAATGGAATACGAGAGGGGAAAAAGGTATCCGGAAACGCGAAAAAAACGTCAAACAATAATATCCCGGAGCAAGAGATAATTCTCTTCAAAGCTACTGTTAGAAACACGTAGGTGGGAAAAACAAGTAACAAAAAATAAACGATAGAGAATAATAATAATGGTTTGAAATCGAACGGTATTCAGTCGTATTTTTGCTTTACTATCGTCAATATTTATTTTTTTGTTTTTTCTACGCAATAACTCAATACGGTAGTATAGCCAAGGATCGATAGATCGTAATTATTAAGGCCAGTTAAATTATAACGAGGGTTAGCTGCTTGTTCAATACAAACACCTTAAGTAAATTTAGGAGATTAGGAGAGTACCCGTTGATGATTTTAAGACCGATCGTTGTTAATGTAACAAAAACTGTCAATAAAAAAACCATCCCTGAACTTTTAGGACAATCGATAATGCTTCGTCGATGGTGATTAGGGTGTTCAGTAATTGGCTTGATCTTCACTGTAAAAACTTATCGCAAACAAGTAACAAGAAATTGTATTTTGTAACATTAAAAACATTAGTGATTAAAGAAAGAAAATAATAAATAATTAATACTCCAAAGAAGATAACCTACTCGTCGTTCATGTTTAATACTTGATCTAATTTCGTTGTAATTAAAGTCAACAGATGAATTGAATCGAGTTAAGAATACATAATCGTTATAAAAGAATAAAAATTTATTACACAATATAAGATCATTCCTTAGAATCGTTTGAAAAGTATCAATTAACAATGTAACATCATGTAAAAGAGGAATGAGAAAGAAGAAAGTAAAAAGTAAGTTTGGGGTGTAAAATAATTAAAAATGTTCGACATAAACGAGTTTAGGAACCGGGTGACGTTTCTCATTCTTGGCCTTCGTCACCTCTTCATCCTCCTCCTCCTCCTCCTCCTCCTCTTACTCCTCCTTCTCATCTTCTTGCTCATTTCAAAACTCTCTTTGAAGAACTAGCACGTGATAAGTTTTATTGTTTAATAGTATAAGATCTCATATGTGAGAAATATCGTTTAAAATTGTCAATTGATTTCCACGTACGTTTTAACATCGTTATATAATACAATATACTTTCTTGATAATTAACAAGGACAAATTTGTAGAATGAAGATTAATATGACGTAAAGAAAATATTGCACTTTACCTAAACGAATAAATATTTATATGTGTAGGTGATGATTCAAACGACGTAGATTAGTATCGTCACGTTTGTATAATAATTTAACCATGTCACGCGAAGGGTGAGATAGTATCCTAGAATGCTATCTGAAACTTTTTTTAAAAAAGAACAGTTTCCTTCACACCTTTCCGACAAGATGAACGATAATGCATACGTCCAGAAAAGATTAAAAAAAAAACAAGGAAAAAAGAAAATCCAATAAACGAAGTATTTCCCCCTCTTTTTTCTAGTCTCGTTAGCTTTTTTTATTAATTATTTATATATTTTTGATCTCTTTTTTCTTTTCTCTTTCTCTTTTTCTTTCTCTACACCTGGTCATAAATTAAAAAATTTACATAACGTGTATGAAATTTTTTTTCCCTTTTTTAAAATTACACGTCCTTTTGGTATTCAGTTTGATCGATTGCACGGCCACCGTGTGCTATCCACCGACGATAAGATAGCGGCGAGAAGACAAAAGAATGAACAAAAGACGCCAACTTGGTAAAACGTTGACCGAACTCGGCATTAATTTGAATACGATTACTTGCTTTCGTCTATATCTATCATTTTTTTTCTCTTATCCTTTTTTAAAAAGCGCATTTTTTTTTAAACTGTAAACGCGTGTTCTTCTCGTAAAATATAAAAAAAAAAAGAAAAAAAATCAATCGAATAAATAATCGTGCTGATATTCGTAAAAAAAAAAAAAAGAAAATTGGACAAAATTAATATCCTCAATTTATTTTCTAATATTTAATATGAAATAAAGGTTTATCTATTTCTTTTTTTTTCACTTATTTCCACTGTCACAATTATCGATGGTATTAAATTTCATTGTCATTAGAAAATTCAATTAATGTAGAATTTATCGATTTGTCACGACATTGAGAAGGCATCATTTCATTTTTGTCCCTTTCATATAAAAATTAATTTGTCTTCGTATAATCGACGACCACACGCACAATCGACAACACATTCTCATACACGTAACGTCATACGTATAAACTTAACTAAGATCGTCGTTCTTTCAGAAAGTAGTTTTTCTTTGTAACTGCCGCTCTAGATAAAAACCTTCTCCGTGTCTGGAAGAACTACGACGGTCGACATTACAAGGCCTTCTTCTCGAAGATAAAAGGAATGTAACTATGTTTCTGTCACAATTAGTTAGCTTAACATTTGCATTCTATTTAGATAGGATGCTCGCAGGCACACATCCTCCGACAAGTTCGTAGGCACAATAAACGTTAGCCTACACCGATAATAATCCACATCCGTCGATAAGTATTTATTATCCATTTTGTCGACGAACCAAAAAAAAAAATAAAGAAGAAAAGAACATAAAAAATAAAGGATCTCGTGTAACAAGCAAATTGTATATCCCCTTTTATCGAATCTCATTACACGATTGTAATTCAATTGTAAAAATATCGATGAACAATTAGACAAGTATTATTCGATTAAGATTAAATGAAATTTACGATTTTTAAATAATCATAATTTTGTTTTTATATTAAAACGATAAAAATGCATTTATGTATTGAGGTGGTATATATCGTATAAATAAGTTGCGAGAAGAGTTTTAGTCTGATGACGATTGTCTATTCTGACGAATATTTTAAAACCGAGTATCGTTGCAAATTCTAACGTCGTTTGATATATTTTAAAAAAAAAAAAAAGGTTATAACCAGCATAAAGTTTATGACTTCCTCGAACATTTTGTACAAAATGTATAACGAACTAAGGAAACTATAGTTTTATTACTTCCGTGACATAGGACGATTTATAATTGTGTCGTAGTCTTATGATTGTAGTCGAGTCGGATTTTAGTATCGATGTCTTGATTTTATATTTACTTGTAGAACAAAATATTATAACTTTTATGTAAAAATATCTTTACATCGAATAGAATTATCTTATGAAACATGTAACTACGAATATAATTTATAACGTAAAATTTTTTTTATTTCATCTTGTCACGCCTAGTAAAGTATATGTGTACATAAAACTTAGCTTCTCACCTAAACGCAACGATAAGCGTAAATATTCTTCGTTCGGCAATAATTCCAAAAAATAAAGAAAAACAAAATAAAAACATTGTGCAAGATTCATAAATTAATCTTACTTCGTGGTCGTTGATTGTATATATAATTCTATTTCGATTTGCAGACATTGGCACACTTGGAATTTCTCGATAAGATAATGCAAGTATCATTGACTCGAGGGTCATAATAATACATTTATGTGGAAAATCTATAATCCCTTTTTCCCGCTTGGGAAATAGAAAAAGGATTCGATAATCCTTTTTCCGATTCTTAATTTGAATTAGATTCTTACAACGTGCGCGCGAGAAGAAAAAGAAAAAATAATGTTCGGAGCTAAAGTAAAAGGTATTCTGTTCTCGGTCGTGCTTGAGAGCAACCCTCTTTTTTTTCTTTCTTTGAAAGCTAACCGTTGGGGGAAGAGTTCACCCTTTAGCTACGATACAAACCGACGTGCCGTTAATAATGAAAAAGGGTAATATGACGGAGAAGAGTAATAGAAGAGGTAGGAAGAAGAAAATAAGTGAAAAAAAATATGCATAAACACGAAAAATATGTCAAACAATACCCCGAAGCAAAGAGATAACGCAACGAGTCAACTGGTAAAGCCAAGCACGTAGGTGGGGAACGCACAAGAGACACACAGACACGATGCGGAATAAATAGTGGTCTGAAATCGAGCGGAATTCAGTCGCACTTCTGGTCTACTATCGTCGTTAACGTTTTTACATGCACGAGAATTACTCAGTTACGGGAGGAACATTGCAAGAATCGATCGATAACAGTGTGACTCACCCAACGTGGAATTAAAATAGAAAAAAAAATACCAAAAAAAACAAGACAAATATCAACAAATTATTTCATTCAGAATTGATACAAATTTTCATGAGAGAGAAAGAGCAAAACTCTTTAGTGTTTTGATAGTTATTTATCAGGACACATTATTTATCAACACACGATTGTCCTTATTTTAAATCATGCTTTTAGTGACCTTTCTTCTTTTTTTTCTTCATCCCTTAGTGAACGGAGACTCTTGCGGGTACTGTCTAATAAAAAAGAGAAAGAGAGAGAAATGATAAAGAATAGAACATAAAAAGTAACGCATACCAGGTGTTTTTTTTTCTTCTTTTTTTTTCCTATTGATCTTATCTACGGGAATTTTATTATCGCGATGGATCATTTTATAGATGACCTCGTTTTTTTCCCCAGTGTGGATTAATCAATATGCTAATGAGAGTTTATTTTAGTCTCTTTTTCATAGCTTGTTCGAAGCTGGATAATCTAGTTGAATTCATTTCGTATTGAATGTAATACGTGCAATCCTGGTATTTTTTATTAACTTTGAAATTTTATTTTATTATTTATATTTGTATAAAGGTGTGAGATAAAAGTTGCTTTTCCCATAAATTATTAACATGGTATTATGCACACATTTATTTTTATCACCGATAACAATTGATTTATTTAGATGGGTAGTTTTTTAATGTCTCGTTCGATATATGAACGTTTTACATAGAAACTATAAAATTTGAATGAGTTATAACAGCTGATAAACAGTCGTTCCAGAACTTAAAAACCACCAACCCTCGTTTTTTCCGTCATATATAAATTGATAATTAAACGATACGACGAGTTTGTATATTAGGTATAATGGACATCAATTTGAACATTTTATATTAACACATGTATAGATAAATTAATACATAAAAATGTAAAAATAAATAATAATTTGTTTATAGAGTTATTTTAAGGTAAGTAACTTTTATCTCACCCTGTATATAAAAAAGAAAGAGAGAGATGAGTTCAAGTTCAAACACATTGGTGTATATCTTATCTAATTTGTGTCATTGTCCCGACTCAGTATTTAATATCATCACAGATGACATCTCCCACCAATTTCTTTCCAGATGGAATTGTGAAAGTTCCAAAAGACCAAAAAGGGTCTTCAGCATTTATTGGAACGTTCCTACCTTTATGTGTCACCAATATGGTATGAATTTCGACGAAGTGACAGATTTTAATATCAAACATAATTCTAAGGACAATTTTCGTGGTGAAACTATAGCAATTTATTATGATCCTGGAAAATTTCCAGCATTGATGCCGCTTAATAATAACGGTAATATTTTTCTACTTCACATTTTTATTTCTTTATCATTGATAAATTGATTCAAGACGATCTATTGTAAAATCTTTATTAATTGTTTAGGCAAATACGAGGAAAGAAATGGAGGTGTTCCTCAACTAGGTAACATCACGATACATTTGCAACAATTTAACGAAGATTTGGATAAAATGACACCGGATAGAAATTTCGGTGGTATAGGTGTAATCGATTTCGAAAGATGGAGACCGATTTTCCGACAAAATTGGGGTAACACGGAAATACATAAGAAATATTCTATTGAACTCGTTCGAAAAGAACATCCAAAGTGGAGCGAATCGATGATCGAAGCGGAAGCTACGAAAAAGTTTGAGAAATATGCCAGATATTTCATGGAGGAAACTTTGAAATTGGCAAAAAAGTCTAGGAAAAGGGCTAAATGGGGTTATTACGGATTTCCTTACTGTTATAACGTAACACCGAATAATCCTGGTCCGGATTGTGATGCTAAAGCGATAATCGAGAACGATAGGTACGAGATTAGAAATATTCGATGACGAATTTTTTGTTTATTTGTACGGTTCAATCAACGATTCTAAATTAGAACAAATTTATGTTTTCATACCGTTTTGGGAATGCAAATTTTTGTTCTCTCGATTAGTACGTGTTTTGTATGCTTCATGAATAGTAACAAGCAAACGATTTGTCTCTTTATGTTATCTAATACGTTTGTTTGAAAGCTCATATCTTTTTCGTGCAGACTGTCGTGGATGTACAATAATCAAGAAATCCTTTTACCATCCGTCTACTTGAGACATGAACAAAAACCGGAGGAAAGGATTTATCTAGTGCAAGGGAGAATTAAGGAAGCTGTTAGGATATCGAATAATTTAGAACATTCACCTAGTGTCCTTGCTTATTGGTGGTACGTGTATCAGGACAAAATGGACATTTACCTAAGCGAGGTGAACATTATTATTATTTTCAAATTTTCAATATTATCACGTTCGCTACCACGTGTTGCATACATTTAACGATCATTAACCGTATTAACCGTATTTTGACATATATTTCATTAAAAAAAAAAAAAAAATAATTGGAAGAAAATCTGTAGTGACAATTTTATTTGTAGTAGCGAACGTTTTATGCATCACGATACTCAGCTAAATCAAACACTTCTACCCTAACTGAAGTATTTAACACATTTTCTATTTTCTTATATTTGATTTCTATATTTCCATAGACCGACGTGAAAAAGACTTTCCAAGAAATAGTGACTAATGGTGGGAATGGTATCATAATATGGGGTAGCTCATCCGATGTAAACAGCCTAAGTAAATGTAAAAGATTGAGAGAGTACCTGTTAAACACTTTAGGACCGATCGCGGTTAACGTAACAGAAACTGTCAACGGAAGATCATCTCTGAACTTTTAGTATAATCTATAACACCTTGCCGATGGTGATTATTAGAGTGTTCGATGATTGGTTTGATCTCACTGAAAAGACTTTTTGTTAACAAACAAAAAAGAAAACTATAATGTATAAGTTACAAAAAAAACCTGTGCGACCAAAGAAAGAAAAAAACAAGAAAATAATGAATAATCTAATCAATAAACCTAAGAGAATCATCTACCAAAGAAATAATACCAATTAATAATTCATATTTGTACTTAATATAATTTAATTGTAATTAAATTTAAACACAGACGAATCGTATCACTCCGAAATTGCATAATCCTTATAAAGTAAAAAACAAAAAAAATTTATTACGCAATATAATATTCTTGCCCCCCCCCCCTTTAGAGTCGTTTAAAATGTAAGAAGAATCATCAATTAACAATGTAGGATCCTGGAAAGAAAAAGAAAAAAAAATAAGAAGAAGAAGAAAGTGAGAAGTAAATTTGGGTGTAAAGTCCTTAGGAGCATTCGCCATTAACGAGTTTGTGAGCCGGTGACGTTTCCCATTCTTGGCCTTCGTCACCTCCTCCTCTTCCTCCTCATCCTCCTCCCTCCCTCCCTCCCTCTCTCCTCTTGCTCCTCCTTCTCGTCTTCCTGCTCGTTTGGAAGTAGCAAATCGAGCGAAGCTTACGGCAAACGCACTTTAGCACTAGCACACGACAAGTTTTACTGGTTCGAGGTGTAAGGCCTCAGGCGATCTTACTTTTTACAGTACACACGACTACATCGGGTAAGAGGAGGTAGTCAAAGATCTCCCTTGCTCACGGTTGATCCCTCCTTTTACTTCTCTCTCTCTCTCTCTCTCCCTTTTTCTCTTTTCTTCTGTTCCTCCCTCCTCAACCTTTCCCCCACCGGTATTCTCCATCTTTCTCTGTTTTCTCGAGGATACCTCAGGAGCTCTGTAAGAAAGAATAAGAAAGAGTAAGAAAGAGAGAATCGGAAAGAAAACGTGAGCGAGAAGAGGATGAAAGAGAACGGAACGGGAACGGCGCGGAACCGAAGAACGTACCGAGTAGTAGAAGGAGAAGCTGAAGGAGAGACTCTGGAAGTGGTTGAGGAGGAGGAGGAGGAGGAGGAGGAGGTGGAGGAGGATGGGAGGAGGAGGTGGTGGAGAATGGGAGGAGGAGGAGGAGGAAGAAGAGAAGGAGGTGAAGAAGGAGGTGGAGGAGAACGGAACACTAGAGATCGGCAGCACAGTTTCGTGCTCAGCTCAGCTCGGTTCGGCTCAGCCTCGTATCGGCTTCGGTCTTTCGAGCCAAAAAAGGTACGGATTTTCCTTGACGAGTGTGTAACTCCCTTCTTCAACGTTATCACCTAAGTCCCTCTTACTTATTGTAGTTCGTTTCAAATTTATCCGGGGATTTTTGCGAGACCAACGCTATTTGCTTAAAGTGCGAGACTATTTTTTTCTTTTTCTTTCCTTTCCTTTCCTTATTATTATTTTTATTACTATTATTATTATTATTATTATTATTATTATTATTATTATTATTATTTATTTTTTTTTTCATTTCGCCATTCGACGAAAGATCTACTCTTGGATACACGCTTAGATCCTCTTCTCTTGCTTGGTGCGTAGTACGCGTTTGCGACGTCGCAGCCGTATACCGAGGTGAGTGACAGTAACTTGAGAAAAGCCAAGGCTGCTTGTGCGTCCATCGCTGAGTTTCTTTCTCTCTTTCTCTCTCTATCTATCTATCTATCTATTTATTTATCTATCTATCTTTTTCCATCTTACCTCATTCCTTGTCTAACCTATAACATCTAAGATTTTCAACAATTAAACATTTATTCGTTTAACAGCAATTCTACCAACGTTAAGAATAATGTGCACTTATGATTAGTCAAAGAAAACGTTAAAAAGGATTTTGTTCGAGCATAGAAAATCTTCCACGTCACGTACCTTCAATGTGCGTCGTTATATTACGCTGATCGTTTTGTAAAAGTCTCCTCGATCGCGGTGAGGCTGTGCATAGAAAGTAGACTTTATCCTTGATAGAAATCAAACGGAATTTAAAGTTAATACAAAAATGATATCACACGGATGATACGCGTTAAGATTATAAATAATATATGTTCTGTTAAATTTTTTTTCTTAGAGATATTCATACGCGTTGGGATTCATTGAATCAGGCGGGTTCATTAAATCCGTATCCGGAACGTCAGCTGATCATTCGAAAAAGTATCACAAACTCTCGAATGGATTCTCCAAGCTGTCGGAATCTCTCTCTCTCTCCAACGAGATACGGGACACCCAAGGCTCCAAAAGAGTAGTCCAGAAGCAAGTTATCCAAAACGTTTCGGCCGCTTATCCTAATACTAGACCCTATTCTTGAGTTAATGATAGGCTCTTCATAGATGCAAGAGTTTAAGTTCCACGCTAAACTGTTGCGCGGTAGCGAACCTACAATCGTATCCTTTTTAATGGAGACCTTTCGTGATCGGGCCTATCATAGGCCGAATTAATCGAGCGTTTTTTTCTTTCTTTTCCCTAAATATAACTAATAATTATTTCTCCAATTTTTTTTCCTTTTATTTTTTTCTGTAATCTTTCTGTCAATTACTCGTCAAGATTAGTTTTATTTTAGAATGATAACATTAAAATTGTATTAAAGATGGCAAAAGACTTGTGTGTTCTGCGAGAATACGCGAGTAACGCGTGCTATGAATGATTTTTATAACGATTTAGCGAATCAGTTCTCCAAACTGGAGTGTGTGTTTCTGTTCGTTCTTGGGACGTGTTACTTCGTGTCATAATCATTCGAAATAATGTTTAACCGGTCTCATTCCTAAAGGGTGGTCTGTACTTAATTATCTTTCACGGCGCGAGACATTTTTTTTTAAAACCACAGGTAGTCCGACGTTGCTGAAATTATTTGATGTCTCTCCTGCGCTACCGCACCTTCGACACCTATACAAATCTTTTTTAATACCAGAGTAGAAAAAAATTGTCTACTTATTTCAGCAATAAAATACGATACAAGTTAATCTTTTAAATTAATCCGACAATGAGACATATCGACTTTTATCGTTTCTTCCTTATGCATCCATAGATTATTTGTTTCTTTTTTTGTTTGTTCTTCAACGCAAAATTGTTTTTTTAAATTTTAATATATTTATATTGTTGTATATGTTTTTATGATTACGTGAATAATTAAATAACGCTTGCAGAAATGATATCTTCGTGCATATATTATACTCTTCATAAACGTATACTATAGAACACACACATTACATTTTATACCGGTATCCCTAAGGTCATGGTGAACATCGTAAGAGTAAAGAAAGTAGCTTCGTCATCAGCCCTCTCGAGATATCTCATATCCATCCACGGTACCCGAAGTAACGGGTCATCGTCATTCACGAAAAGAAACCGAGAACGAAATCTTCTACATATGACTCACCTTACAAACGCAACTGTATTTATATCGCGTATCGTTAAAAGACAAGAGGATGAGGAAAAGAAAACAATCTGTTAACAGATCTAACAGTTAAAGGATTTAATAAGAAATTAAGAACGCGCGTAAGAAAGAGAAACATGATCAAGAAATCAATCATCATCTTACGTTAGAAGGAAACCTTGGATTATCCATCTTTTTTTCATGAAATATTTCAACGTAGTTACATACGAGTAACCTGATAGATTTCTTAATCATTTTATCCAAAGAAAAAGAAACAAGATACTACTTGGGTGATCCATTTTTCCACGAAATCTTTCAACAGACAATGAAATACATGCGAGAAACGTGATCGATTTCTCGATCATTTGAAAAGAGAAAAAAAACGAAACACTCCGGTGATCTATTTTTCCATGAAATATTTAGGGTCAACTTTTTCTGACACCGATTATTTCGACCGAAATAAAAGCATAAACACACAGTGCTGCGTCGTCGGAACATTGTGTATTTAAGGAAGATGAAGAAAGAAAGAATAAGAAAAAGGGGAATCAGGAGAAAAGAGAATTCGCGGTTTGTCGCGCGTTCGTCCTCTCACGAAAAGAGGAAGAAAAAGATGGGGGAAAAAAGAAAACAGAAAGAGAAAGAGAAAGAGCTGGTAGCGGCAGAAGTAGCGGGCAGGCTCGAGAAAGACGAAAGGGCCCGTTTTAAAGAGCCGAGCATTAAAAACAACAATGTCATTACATTTTAACGACCTGTTCTTGGGCTCTGCCCTCCCTTTTAAAAGCGTTCGTTTGAAGGTATGTGGTCTCCGCGTATGGGGACCACCTTACTAGCGGGTGGAGGGAGTAACTGAGAAAAAGAGAGAGAGAGAAAAAAAAGAGGAAGGAAGCTCTTAAAGCGTTACATACGCGGTTTATCAGCGAAGTCTTTGATATCGATAAAGATTTATCAACAATCTGTAAGACATTTAATGATAATCAATAATTAATGAAAAATCAAAAAATTATTGATTCTACCATCTTTTTCCTAGTAATCGGAAAGAAGATTATTCTTCGATCTTTCCGATGGACTCGACTCGTAAGTCGACTTGTAATTTGATAAGAAAACCAGAAGCGTTCGATAAAGTTGGTGGATTGAGGATGATCGATCGATCAATTTATTTGAAAAAAAAAAGAAAGAAAAAGAGGATCGTCGACGTGTTTTGACAGGCTTGTTGTCCAAGGGTGCAAAAACATTGGGATCCGGCACTGGTGAAGAAGAGAAGTCCACATTCGGAGTCCCTATTTTCTTCTGTTCAGCATCATCCCCTGGCGTCACTCTTTGACGACGGCGACGGGGATGGCGACGGGGATGGCGACGAGAATGGCGACGGCGGCAGCCAGGCACCATGCATGCACCTCACGAAGAATTAGTATGGGCAAAGAAACAAAAGTATAAGGAGCTGACGCGAAGGGTGTGCGGAGGGGAAGGGTGGTGTGTGCCGGTGCCGGTGCCGGTGCTAGTGCCGGTGCCGGTGCTAGTGCCGGTGCCGGTGCAGGAAGGATGAAAAGAAAAAAAAAAGGAGCCGAGATGGCGCCACACGTCCAGCGTGTTTTCAGGGCATCCTCCGGTGCTGTTGGCAAACTCCTTTTTTTCACCTCGCCGTGTCGGTTCTCTCTCTCTCTCTCTCTCTCTCTCTCTTTCTCTCTCTCTTTCTCTTTCTTTTTTTTGGTTACTCTTCTTTTTCTGGTCACTCATCCTCTTCCTTCTTCAACTCCTCCTCCTCCTTTTACGGCGACGATCGTCTTTCTCCGTTGGACGCGCGAGATCCTCTCCTTTTTGTATTCTCTTCCTCCTCTTTAACCCCCTATGGGTCCCCTATTAGTTGTTGGGCCCACGGCACCGGTATCTCGAGAAACGGAGATGGAGAATCGTGGAAAGGGGAGGAGGAGGAGGAGGAGAAGGAAAAAAAATTAAAAAAGAACTCGCGAAGGATGGTCGCAAAATTGTGAAATTAGGCTACGTGAAAACGAGCGACGGGAGGCCGCCGGGAAAGAGAATAAGAGAGAATGAGAGATATGATGGAGAACAAACGGGGGGAAAAGGAGAGAGGAAGTATCGTTGGGTGCCGAGGACTTTCATTAAGTTAAAATAGATCGCCAGGATTAAGATAAAAATCTAATATAGCTGCCGTTTACAGCTTACCGTACTTCTATCTTTCTCTCTCTCTCTCTGTCTCTCTCTCTCTCTCTATCTCGCTTTTTATTTCCATTTTTATTATTTTTCTACTTCTTTCATCGGAGTAGAATTTTTTAGGAAAGAAAAAACTGCGATTTAAATTATCGGAACGCCGTAAACATAATTTATACGGGGGGGAAGGGGACGTAGGATTAGTTATGAATTCGAGATCTTTGAAAAGGGGTAATTTGAAAATTGACAAGATCGGTTTTTTTTGTAAATATGCGTGCACGCATGATAGGATACTCTCTCTACGTTCTCGAGAATCGATCCGACATATTTTTGTTATTTCCATGATAGAAAAGAATCCTTGTCGGCCTTCGACTTCTTCTCCTCTTTGAGATCTCCGTCTGTTTAGAATACTAATATTGTCCTTGTCTCTCATTCTCTCTCTCTCTCTGTCTTTCTTTCTCTCTTTTCCTCTTTCTCATTGCCACCTTAAATAGTAAATATGTGATCCACGTTCCAAAAATATTCTTCCAAAAATATTCTATGATATATAACCCTGGACCATTCGACTATCGATTCGAATGTTGTTCCATTCGTCCGAACAATGGAATGATTTCTTACCCCGACACCTTTCTCAAATCATTTTTATTTCTTTTTGTTCCTTCTTTCTTTTTATTTTAATATTTTAGGGATCATCATAAATGCATTCGTTTTCTGTGATTGCAAAAGAGATAGATAGGATGAAAGAAACAAAAAAAAAGACAGAAAATAGAAAGGGGTTGAGAAGGTACGAATAGGTTGCTCATAACTTCTGGTAGATCGTAAATTCTAACGTCGAAAGCATCCTCGTAAAATCAAACGGCTACCCTGAAAAGAATTTCCTCGGGGCATCGCCAACCGCAACAACAACAATTACCAGAGGGTTAACGAAGTTTAACGCGTTCTGCGTTATTAATGAACGAGAAAATGAGAAAGGCCACCGTACTGAACCTGTTTCTCTTATCTCTTTCTTTCTATCTCTTTTTTTTCTCTCTTTCTAAGCAAGAAA